AGAAAAACCGGATTAAAAATCGTTTATGATAGCCGTTTACGACTGTTCGTAGGCGATGCACAATTTAATGCGAAAAAGTGCTCGAAAAAGAGTCGTAAACGGCTATCATAAACGATTTTTAATCCGGTGTTTCTTCGAGAAAATATCCAATTACGAGCTTGTTTACGATGATTTTGCTGGCTGGGTATACTTTCACTTGCATTGATATTGGAACTTACGGCTCGCAAAGTGATGGTGGCGTTTTATGGAATTCTGGCTTTGGGAGACAGCTCTATAGTGGAAAACTGGATCTTCCTGAAAACGATGTGCTACCAGACTCGGACAAAACTTTTCCCCACTATTTTGTTGGAGATAATGCGTTCCCGTTAAAGCCATTTTTAATGAGGCCGTACCCAGGTTTGTATGAACAATTTAAAAATTAGTATTTTCTAATTAAACTCATTTCCTCATTTTAGGAACCAACTTATCTCTGGAGAGGCAAATTTTTAATAAACGTTTATCTCGAGCACGCCGTGTTATAGAAAATGCATTTGGGATTTTGGCTTGTCGATGGAGAATCGTTTTAAATCCCTTACAAATGAGCCCTTTATCTGCCGAGAAAATTGTAAAGGCTACGGTTCTCCTTCACAATTTTCTCGAGATGCACGATGGTAGCTTTTGCCCGCCGGAATATGTTGACCAGGAGGACGGCGACTCTATCAGAAGAGGATTGTGGCGGAGTGATATTTCGACCCCCTTGCAAAGAGCTAGGCGGATAGGTTCGAACAATGCGTCACAAAATGCGTTTAAGTTAAGAGATGATCTGAAGAGTTACTTTGTATCCCATCCAATTCAAAGGATGGCACAATAAAAAAAAGGTGATTTATATTTTTTACCTAATGTGCGAAAATAGTTAACATATAATGCTATTTTTAGCCTCAACAGAACCAAGATGAGTTTGCCAAGCGGAGACGCAAAACATGATGGCATGCAATAACAAAAACAATACAAATAAAAGATTCAAACAGTATACAAAATTACCGAAAGTTCAACGAATTTTCATTAAAAGTTTAAATTTTTTAATAAAAATGTCTGGTATGCAGTTTCATAGCCCATACAATTTCAGTATAATAATGCGCAAATTTGAAGTGGCTAAAGATTATCGAGTGTTGCGCATTTCCTACATGAACAAAATGAAAAAACTAAAAAATCAACGGTAATCTTTAGCTAATTGAAACTTGCACTTTATTATACTAGAATGTAATAGGCTACAAAATTGCATAATTATTTTTTAAAATTCTGATTAACAAGTTCCAAAATTTTGACGATTTTCTTTTTAATTTTTTTAATTATACATTTTGTACAAAGTTTTCAACTTTTATTTATATGGCTTCTGTAGTAAACACAAACAAACAATATCATTTCGAATTTGGTCCAAAATGATATGACCTACACTGTATATGCATATTGTAATTTTGACATGAAAAGAATATGAAATAATAATAATAAATAATGTGAAATAATATGAAAATAAAAATTATAGCCGCACCACATATTGACATCACTCACTGTACACTGTACAGCCACTGTACATTTAAGAATTTAAACAAAACTTATAACAATTTATTTTGTATAGTAATTTTATTTTTTAATTCAGTTTATAACTTCACATTTGGTTTTTTGTTTTCTTATTCAGTTCATAACATAACCTTTCATTGTATTACAAAAGCTCATGTACATATACAGTGCCGCGCAAAATTATTGAACTACAACAAAAAACAAAAAAATAAAATATCTAAACTTTGTACAAAGCTCAGGAAAATTTAATATACTTGCATACATATTTGCAACTTTTAATCAGATTTTTTGCAAAAATTCTAAGTATGCAGTTTTATAACTCATTCAATTTTATTTGCTAAGAAATTGCGTAGGTTTTTGCACTTTGTTATATCAAAATTGAATGGGCTATAAAACTGCATACTTAGAATTTTTGCAAAAAATCTGATTAAAAGTTGCAAATATGTATGTAAATTTATTAAATTTTCCTTAGCTTTGTACAAAGTTTAGATATTTTATTTTTTTGTTTTTTGTTGTAGTCTGAACAGTAGTTTTATAAAAAATTTTCAAAAATAAAGAGTAAACAATTTTGCATACATTGTGAAAAATTCTGTGTCAATAATTTTGCGCAGCACTGTATGCACTTGTATAAATTTGCATACATTTACAAAACGTACAATATCTATTTATTTAAATTAAATTTTCTTATTTAGTTTATAACATTTCATTTCATTGCGTTACAAGAGATCATGTACAGACATTTCATTTTCATTAAAATTAATATAATATAATATAAATAATTTTATAAAACAGAACTAAATTAATGATGTGCTGTAAATTGCACAGGAACAAAAAGCCGAAATAATTTTGATTATAATTATGACA